CGGAGCGGCACGGGTGACGAACAGCCTACGCAGTCGCATCGTCGCATCGGTGACTAAGAAGCGTTCTGCATCGTCAAGTGTCTCATAGACGAATCGATCGTACTTCAGATTGTCACACCTAGGCCGCGATCCGATTCACACTCACAATACTTAATAAATCAAAATAATATAAAATATATAAATAATATAAATAATATAAAAGAGGGCTACAAGCCTAATATAAAAATTTTTTCTAATAATATAGTTAAATCACAAAACAAAAACATTGGTCTATAACAAACGTGTCTTTTTATTTAGCTATATTTTATATTTTATATTGTAAGTACATTGTAACCGAATTGTTAACATTGAAAATGATCTGATCGGATACGAAACGCTTGTTATAGACCATTTGTTTATGATTTAATTATTTATATTATTTAAAAAATTTTTTATATTAGACTTGTATGTAGCCCTCTTTTATATTATTATTTAATTTTATTGAATCTTTTGACATATTGTATTGATTTAATAAATCATTTCATTTTTGCTGTTTATTAAATGTTGTTTATTAAATAAGAAGAAATAATGTTCATGAGCGTGTAAATATAAATCAAATCGCGGTTCTAGATTCTCGTAGAGAAGACTAGTACTTAGAGACATATTTTACATTAGAGGACACTAATTATTTTATATTATTTATTTCAGTTAAAAAATTTTATAACTGAGCAGCCAATATTAAAAGTCTCATTATTGTTAAGAAATAATTAGTGCACTAGGAAAAGAATCTGATTGCACTAATGAAAATTCTGGCTAAAAATGGACAAATCAGAATTTTCTAGTTGAATCTAATGTAATTCTAGTTGAGATGTTAGAATTCTGATTGACATAATCAGAATCTTCTAGTTCATTAATTTTCAACCATAAATTTTGCTCAATATGTCCTGTGCAAAATATTTCTAGGTTCTATGAAGAAAAATTTTGAGTCTCCTGAATCACCACAGCCATATTGAATCGTGACGTCAGAAGCGAGAAATGACACGTTAATTTTTATTATATATCATTTATAAATAAAGACAATTTGAATAAAACAAAATGATAAGATTTCTTTAAAATATTTATCCCCTTTTACAGTCAGTAAATAATCATAAAAAGTGATAAAAGGCACGTGAAAGTGGAAATAAGCTGCGCATGCGCATTGAATAAAAGCACTTCATGTATCTTTTATCACTTTTTACGATTATTTATTGATTGTCAGGAGGAATAAGCATAGTTTTCGTCCATTTTTACAAATGTTTTAAAGCAATCTCATCATTTTGTTTTATCTCGAGTTTTATCCAAATTGTCTTCATTTATAAATGACACATAATAAAAATTAACGTGTCATTTCTCGCTTCTGACGTCATGATTCAATATGGTTGTGGTGATTACTCAGTAGCCTTAATACATATTTTTTTAATAGTACTGACTAAACAGGTTATTTATAATAAATAAATATTGACTCAATAAAAAATAAATAAATCGTTAAATATACGGTTCTTGTGCCAAAAATGTAGTAAATATATGTTTATAATTAGTAAATATTAAATAGTTAGTACTATTAAATAAATATTTATTAAAATTTAATACTTTTTTCAGTCTCCTAAACGTCTAGTTGACTTGGCAAAAAATGAGAAGAAAAAGAAGAATCCATGATTTTCTTCTGTACGAGCATCATGAATGAGTAAATGAGAAGATTCAAATTCGTTCTAGATCTAATTATGTGGCTCACTCGCGCTCCATTTCTGCAAAGTATACAAGAGACAACGCATCCATTTAATTTTAGAACTTAAGTTAAAAACTCGCGATATCGGGTGACCGCACGCGACGGAAATCGATCGCGCCGAACGATCGCGAGAGGTGGGCACACAAAACAAACAGGTCCCATGTTCTATTTCGGGAATTGATGGCAATCGGGCGCTTTAATCCCTGTGAACGATGAAATTAACGAGCGCGCGAACGCGAGCGCTCATAAAGCACCAAGCTGGCCTAAATATAAGCGCCCACGAGAGAAACCTCCCGTAAGGTCTCGCAAGTAATCCGGATTTCCTGCGTCGTTTTCCTCGCACCAATGTTTTCCCTCCTTATTGCAAACATGACGCGCCGTTTCATCATTTGTTAAGTAACATTTTTTTATCTGTATAAGAATGAATTACTACAGTAGAAGTAGATTGAATAAAATATACTGGCTGAGTTTTTAATCAGGGAATATAATCTAAAACCTGGATATATACGGTTACCCTTTTAAAAATACAGTGTATTTTTTAAGTCGTAAAATTTCTGATCATTAATTACAATTTTGTATTTATAAAATTATCTATTAATAAAGAATTATCAATAAAAACATAAATTGTATTCCAGAAATTTTATTAAATATCTACATTGCATATAATGTATAAAAGAATTATATTCCTTCCTCTGTTTCTGGATCATCATTTTTTTTCTAAAAAGTATACATAAGTATGCATTTTTTTCTTATAATTCAGATATGATAATCTTACCCGGACATATATAATAGAACTTTGATCAAAATTATCTCGTTTTCCCTAAAAATACTATAGAAATCTAAAGAATTATAACTGAACAGTAGAATCAGAATCTATTCCGAATAATTGTATAATACGTGCTTTAGAATTATTCTAATTTCTATACCTCAACAGCAAGAAAGATAAAAATCAATTTTTTGTCAATTTAATAAGTGAAAATCCCTACTTGTACTTTCTCTTTACTTTTTTAAGAACTATTGAGTATAAATACTATAATTTCAAATACTGATAAATTGTAAAACAATTAATAACATACAATAGTTAATCATTTCATTTAGAAAAATAACCCAGATAATTGTTATTATAAAAGAAAAATTAGGTTTAATAGATTCTCTCATTTCTGGATTAATAGCCTTAGATTTGGAAATCATTTTTTTCTATCACTGAGGATATTATACTGTGGGAATATAAGCGTGCCCATTTCACGGTTGATTGCTAATCGGTCGCAAAGAGACCGGTCTCGGATGCAACGTTCCATTGTGTCGCCATTGGCACTGACGTCGATTTTCCCGTGAATATAACGATATATGCGGGCGGCGCTATTAGCCGCGTTTCCCCGTTTCGCCGATATTATTTATAATCGTCGCCAATGTGCGGGAGCCGAAGCAGAAACGTTTATTCGTGGCCCGTCACGAGCGTGAGTCACGAAATTCGAAAACGAGTACGTTCACGGTTCACCGTTCGTGCACCAGATTGCGACGGGAAGAGAATCGTAGCGTGTCTTCAGGGGTTGCAACGTTCCTGCAAACAGTGCGAACGCCCTTGAAGCGTACTTATCGATAATGAACGAGGGATTATCGCAGATTATTAAAGCTCAAGATGAAATACGAGATGGAAATCCTCATCTTGTCGGGTGATATCTCGAACGGGAGGTCAGACTGCCGCGCTGTTCTGACTTGCAATGCGCACGATTCACGACATTTATTTCGTAACAGGAAATGTAATGCATGATCTACAATGAGCAGTAGCAGTAGTGGATTAAGGAGTAGGTGTAGAAATCGACTAATCATAGTTGAATATGAGAAGAATAATCAACTATGATTGGTCGATTTCTATGCCTACTCGTTCAATTACTGTTACTGCCCATTGTAGATCACGCATAAGAGCCTCGAAACGCTGCTATCGTAGAACTCTCATTAAAGTAACTCGAAAAAATTTTAATATCTTTTATTTGCAAATAAATATGTATACGTCATGAAATTAACAGGAAATATTGGACGTTTTAAATTACTGAGCGACTCATCTTGAATTTTATATCACGTTCATAAAATTTCTGGTAATATTTTACTTTCTCAAAAGACACACGCATTCCGCAAGAAATGTTTAGTCACAGAACTAATTATCACGACAGTGCAGCATTATATTGACGATTTCTTTAAATTATCCAGGTGTTAAAAATTATGTGCGCGTGCATTACGCCACTGGTAGTTTCATTAGTTATTCAAATATTGTATAAATACAAATAATCAGCCATATGTATAAATCAAAATTTTTAATATTTGGACAATATTGGAACAATATTGGACAATTAGTTTTACAACATTATTTGTGAGAATTTTTGGGAACAATAAGATGTTACCGCAAATAATTTTTATCATAACATAATAATGCAGGTAAAATTCAAGACGAGAGTCACATGATAATTTAAAACGTCAAATATTTCCTATTTCGCGAGTGAGTCAATCGTATGTGTAATCAAGCGATGAGTCAAACACCTGGTTAAAAATTTACCTATTACCTAAGGAAAGCATTCGTCTAATTCTATGCTATTACATCAGTTCCCTCTATTTTACAGCATTTACTTATGAAAATTTTATGTCTCTCTCAAAAAATAAATAAAAAATAAAGCTAATTATAACTTCAATCACTTTCCAATTGCGTTATAGCGTCAGTTTCTCCATATTACTTCATCTATTAGTTTTGCATAGTTTTGCATAGTTTTAATATTTAATATTTAAATTTCAGTAGGGGAACATTCCGAGATATGATTACTTAACGATTATTTAGTGTATGATTTAGATATGATTATTTAATGTACAAGCATAGATATGGCAGTACAACAGTGCTCTTTTTTTCCAAGATATTCCATGTGTCATCGAATTATGTTACGCCTTTTCCAAAGTAACGAATAAAGATTCGCCTCATGATGTATCAACAATCAACAATACTCTCTTTTATAATTAAAATTTAAATCTTTGTCGTTATTTATATTTTCAGATTTTTCTTATTACAATATCGTACAGTTAATGACGAAAAATCAAAATAGCCAATTGAATAATATTTGACAATAATTATCATTTTATTTTGGATACTTTCTAGCAAGAGACAATGATGACAACACAGTGTAACACACTGAATTATTATATCTTTCTTGTTTACTAATTACTCATTTCTCAGAAAGAAATTTCATCAAGATAAAGAAAAAAAGAGGCTCACCATCCGCGGGCATATCTGTCACGATACGTCGATACAGCAAATCCAAACATGGACCTCTCCTCCATACGATATACCGCATAATGTTTTGTCTCGATGTTGAAACCGTCGGCGACGTGCCAGGTTGATGAAACGACGATCGCGAACCCGACGAGGAGGCTCGCCCAGAGAAGCCTCGTCGACCACATCCTGTCCACTAATCTGGCGTGTCACTGGCCGCACTACGAACACTCTGTCACTGTGTCGAGTCACTTTCATATATGAGAACCGATCGCGCGAAAGACGAAAATAATACGAAAGAAATTAATAATAATAATAATAATAATAATAAGCAAAGAGCGGCACGACGAATGGTATGAAACTAGGAGAGTTTAGTCTTGAATTAACTACGCAGAGTTACCGGTAGCGAGTTAGCCGGTAGCAGCTGCACCACCAGCCGACATGTGTCTTCCGCGAGGCACGAGGCCCTCGAGAGATCGACGATGAGGGAGAGTAAGGAGGAAGGGAGGGAGAAAAAGAGCCGGAGAAGTCTGCTTGACGGACGCCCGCGGACAGACTGAGCTGAGTGGAGCACGACTCTTTCGGGTAGTCTTTCGCTTCGACTCTTCGCCTACTCGAGGGCCGCCGTCGAAGAGTCTCCCACCTACGGCGCGGTGCTGCCCGCTGATCTTAGCCGACGTGCGTCGCGACGCGACGTCGCGTCCTCGTTGCGTTGTCGTCCGTGATAAGCGACGCGCTATCCAGCAAACGAGAATGAATTGAAATGAATTGAAATTGGATTCAGATTTTCAGAAATATTGATTCACGAATGTTAAAATGAATGCTTTTCAATCCTGAATGCATTTTTATTCATTTATAGGAATTGCACGGAGCATATTTCTATGCCTTTCAATCTAAAAATAATATTAGCTTTTTCTGTGTACAACACACACATTGTGAATACTTGTTCAATTCAAAATTTTGAGTGCAATTTTTCAATCCAATTGCATCCAATTGAATCCAATTAAATTCAAACAAAAGTATTCGCTATTTAAAATACGCATTCGGATAGAAAAAAATTTTAATCCATTCTCGTTTGCTGGGATATAATATGTGCGTGCGTGCGTGCGTGCGTGCGTGCGTGTGTGTGTGTGTGTGTGTGTGTGTGTGTGTGTGTGTGTGTGCGCGCGTGCGTATACACACACACATACATATATATAATATACACATATATATATATATATATAAAACATAGATCTGCCTTGATCAAAATGAAATATAATCCAGCAAACGAGAATGGATTGAAATGAATTGAAATTGGATTCAGATTTTCAGAAATATTGATTCACGAATGTTAAAATGAATGCTTTTCAATTTTGAATGCATTTTTATTCATTTATAGGAATTGCATAGAGCATATCTGCATGCCTTTCATTCTAAAAATAATATTAGCTTTTTCTGTATTGTGAATACTGTTGTGAATGCAGTTTTTCAATCCAATTGCATCCAATTGAATCTAATTGAATCCAATTGAATCCAATTAAATCTAAAAAAAGTATTCGCTATTTAAAATACGCATTCGGATAGAAACAAATTTCAATCCATTTTAATCCATTCTCGTTTGCTGGGTAATTACATTTAAACATAATGTTATTAATATTATATACAATACAATATGCAAAAGTTATATTTTATCCAGTAAACGAAAATGGATTGAAATGAATTGAAATTGGATTCAGATTTTCAGAAATATTGATTCACGAATGTTAAAATGAATGCTTTTCAATCCTGAATGCATTTTTATTCATTTATAGGAATTATAGGAATTATAGGAATTATAGGAATTATAGGAACATATTTCTATGCCTTTCAATCTAAAAATAATATTAGCTTTTTCTGTGCATAATATACACATTGTGAATATTGTTCAATTCAAAATTTTAAATAAAATAAAGAAATGCAATTTTTCAATCCAATTGCATCCAATTGAATTAAATCTAATTGCAATTAAATCTAATTAAATCCAAAAAAAGTATTCTATTTAAAAATACACATTCGGATAGAAAAAAATTTCAATCCATTTTAATCCATTCTCGTTTGCTAGATATACCAATCATTCATAAACTGATTTTTCGTATTACGACGGTCGTATCACGACCGATGGCGATTGAAAAAAGAAATTGTGTCCTTACTTAAGACAATTTAGATTCATATAGATATTCGCGATTCAGAATAGAATTCTATTGCTGTGTATTTCGAATATTTCGACATATTTGCACTTTGCATAACGAACGTAAATGTATTAAACATTAACGTATTAGAGTTAATTAAAATATCACTCATATCCGTAAATGAAAAGTACATTAAATTTTAATACACTTAACTTTTGATGATATCTCCCCGAACAGTCATATAGATTCACGATCAGTTCAAAATTGAATGTTCTTTGAAATACTACATTTTGATTCTACCATTTTAAGAACTTATGTATGTGAACCAATGAACAGGAGTTTTTCAAGCTCGGTATTCTAGGGATATTACAATCTCTAACTACACAACGAACGCAACGCGCCAAACGTATAATTCCGTAACTAAAATCCATGCATGATTTAACTTAACTTAAACTAACTTAACCTAACAATTAAAGTTAGGACTTTGTAGCGAGATTCGAAATTAATCTCCTTGTTTTCTTCCTTTAAATAACCTTGATAAATTCCATTTCCAAGGAATTTACGTGGATTATTCGAAAATTATCATTATGCGAGAGACAATCTGACGGTTCAATATAAAGTATATACATACTGCAATCCTTATATAAACATATATAAACATATATAAGTTTTCTAGGAGAAATTGGTGTTTTCATATAATTAACTTAATTGTGAGTAAACTGAGTTGAGAGTGAGTAAACTGAACAATGGAATGTGAAGGAACGGACGTTGATTCATGCCCGTCAATAACATGTGAAACTTTAGATAAAAATGATGAAACGGAAGAAAACAATGCAGAAAGCAAAGCTGATGAGACTAATCCAGTGCAATTAAATTCATTTGTAATGATTGAAGACTCCCGCGTTTTGTTGAATAATGAAACTTGTTTGGGATCTAGTAAAATGCCAGACCTCACCTCCTCACAGTCACATGTAAGTTTGAGACATATAGGCAAGTATACTTATAATTTGATAAAATTTATTTATGTATAATAATAATAAATCGTTGCTATATTACTTAAGCGAATTGCAAAATAATGATTCTTCAAATTATAGGAAACGTGTCAAACTTTGTCAAAACAAATAGTAAATCTTGCAATAATGAAACAAACAAGAAACAATGAAGCTGCAAATATCACAGAGCCAAGAAATGTAAATTCAGAAGATGCTAGCTCAACAGATTCTCCTTGCATCTATAATTATAACTGGTCAAAAGCACCAAAGATATTATGTGTAGCGACTAAGGAATATCAGTTCACAGATATGTATGAGAATTTTACAAAAGGTTGTCAATGGTCCCCAGATGGAACGTGCTTACTTGTATCATCGGAAGACTTTAAGATACGCCTTTATGAACTTCCTAGAGATTTGTACTCTGGCCAAATGCCATCTGATTTTATACAGACCGATTTTACATCTGCTTTGACTATTAAAGAAGGTGGCCTCATATATAACACTTGCTGGTATCCCTATATGAATTCATGGGAACCTGCAACATGCTGTTTTCTTAGTACAAGTAGAGAGAGTCCTGTTCATTTATGGGATGCATTTACAGGAGAATTACGTGCAACATATCGAGCTTATAATCAGTTAGTAATAGTAACATTGCTCGAGTTTTCAACTTTGTGAGAATATATAAAAAAAGGAGGAAAAAATATATTTTTTTTAGAGTTGACGAAGTAGAAGCATCTATTAGTGTTCAATTTGTGGATTCAGGAAGGGAAATATGGTGTGGTTTCAAGAATGCTGTAAGAACTTTCGATACAGATCATCCTGGACGTCAAACAAGCGACATTTATTTTAAACATGATTTTCCAAATATGACCGGATTGGTTTCGTGTATCCGTGAAAATCCAATTATGTCAGGCTTAGTTGCCTTTGGTACATATTCTAAATGTATTGGTATGTATCTGTGATAAGATTTAATTAAATATATAAAATTTTTGATATTATTAGGTCAATTCTAAGCAGAATTGTAAGACTTGTAACTTGTTCTCGTAAAATTTATGATTAGTTTTAATTTTATGCGTATCATAAGACGTACGATTTATAAATTAATAAATATATACGATTTCTTGTAAATTTTGTGGCTAATAAGAAGCTGTCTAAAGATATTGTATAAAAATATATAGATACTTTAAGTTTACTTAAAAGTTCTTATAAGTTTTACGAGAATATGTTACGAATCTTACGATTCTGTTTAGAATTTAAACATATGTCTGCTATAAAAGATATAATTTTTCTTTTTTATATACTTTTGAAGGTTTGTATAAGGATGGGCCATTATGCACCTTTAAAACTGAAAGTGGTGTAACACAAATTGAATTTAGTTCTTGTGGAATGAAGTTGTTCTCTGTTGTTCGGAAAAATAGTGAATTTCTATGTTGGGATCTCCGTAATCCTGGAAATGTTCTTTATTCTCTTCAAGGAAGACAATCGGACACTAATCAAAGAATACAGTTTGCTATTACACCTGACAGTAAACAAATAATCTCTGGTCAGTTTAAAAAAATGTAAAATGATAAATAGCATAATGTAATATATCTCTTAATTGATGTTATATATTCCATAGGTGGTGTTGATGGAAATATCATTATATGGGAATTACCAGAAATTACAAATTATGATGAAGAGAATTTGAATCCAAAATATAAAATAAGACTATCCAAAGACTGTATAAATGGAGTAAGCTTACACACAAATTTACCTATAATAGCAACCAGTTCTGGACAGAGACAATATGGTCAGCATATTAAGAGCAAACATAGGGACAATAGCGTGAGATTATGGTGGGCTACTTGAGATAATGATAGCTTTAGATAATTTTATACATGGTTTCGCATTAAAACAAAGATAAAACCAAATGAGATATGTGTAGCTCGTGTGATTAATGCATTTATATAGCTCGATTTACGAAGTTATAACATCAATGTTATGAAATTGGCCAATCATAATTGTTCTATTCTCCAAAGGAATAGCTATGATTGGCCAATTTTATAACATCGATGTCATTTGATGAAGCGATGAAATTGAAATTGAATGCCAATATGTCGATATAGGAAGTTACTATGTATATACTTTTATTATTTTATATTAGAAATAATCCGTGTTTCTCACAAACGTTTTGATCTTTGATTCGGATCTTCTTCAGTGTAAATTCCTTCACAAATAATAATTTACTTTAGGATATGTAAAAAAAAAATCGCTGTTGAATTAATCTTTGTTAATAGTACAGTTGAAAGTATAAGAAAACGACATAAATGTAACGACGAAAATTGTATTCTAAAATATATCACTGAATTAATTTCACAACTTGACTTTAAAATATACGGTAATTGTCATTGATTCATTGGCAA